TAAGTACTACTCCATTATCACACTGCCTGCTGTTAAAAATATTGAGCTTTCTAACGTAAATAAAACTACACATGTGAAGTTTGACATCTGCATTCATAACATTTAAAGGCAAAAATACTAGTCAAAAAAGTTTATCAGTGTCTGAAACATATATTTCATAATTCTAAAAACACTTTAAAGGGAAACTGATAAGTCTGAAATCAAAAATTTTTTTCTAATTATGTCTACAAGACATAATTCTCAAAACCTTATTAGAGATTACTAAATTATGCTAAACAGGATGCTAAAGAAAAGAAAAACAATAGAGTCATATGTATAGTTGGTAAACTGTGAAATGGAAAAAATTTAAGAATCCTAGAAATGTAATGTCTCTGTGTGAATAACAGATTTCCATGCATATGTGTATCTTCACAATAGTGAAACTGCTGAATTTACAATTACAATTTACAATAGTGAAACAGGTGAATTTACCTGCTAGAGCCCACTCTCCTGTGCCATGGGTGTGCCCACTGTAATACAAAACATATGTATCATGTCTCGGTCCATCCACAGTCCGAAGTTCAAGGAAAGCTTTCAGTTTGGAATGTAGAGCATCAAACGACAGTCCACTTGTGGAATAGTCACATCCATAGGTCTCAATCATATGATACGCAAAAAACCTCTGGATAGCGTTGAGCATGCCAGTAGACCTCAAATTTAACTCTTGTACATGTTCTGGTGGAAGCAATGTTGGCTGACCATCGGGACTGAAGTAGGAGAAAAAACAATTATTTTGGTGTAAGAAGTATTCATTCCATGTCACATTCCCATCTATCATTTCTAATTGATTAAGAATCACAATAGTTGTTGCTAACTAAATGGCAGAATTTTTAAAAATCACCTCTTCTAAAATTCCTATAGTGCTAAAAATTAAGCTTAGAAAATCAAGACCTGGTTTCTAAAAATTATATTTCCTATCATTAAAACAATAACCAAACTAAAATCTGGGAAAATACCTCCAAATGTAGAGACAGTTCTACTCTTACATATTTTCTTACTAAATGACAGATATTGGACTAGACTTCTAAAAGTCAAAGTAGGATTATACAATTTAAAGAACACCTGGGTGGGACTATAAAGAAAGAACTTTTTATTCTTGAGGAAAAAATTTTAACATA